AGTTGTCCCTATTGCACAGCATCTCCAGCATGGCCCTCATTGTGCAGCTCCTGCCGAGTATGCACCATGCAGCCCTATCCCACTCATGTTCTCCATCCCTGTGGCCTAGGGCCTTTGCTGTTCCCCACCTTGGAGGTGCCTCTGCTGCCTTCTGTGCCCCAACACACTGCCTAGTTCCTGCTTCCACTCAACCTTTTGTTGCTATCCCCAGCTCCTTCTAGCCATTCCTGGGGCTGCAAGTGGTGCCTGTTTAGGTCTCTCTCCCAGTGCCATTCAGACTGAGCTAATGCTGGGCTCAGCACAGAACCAGGAGTCGGGTTGTTTCATAGTAGCTAGGGTCAGGAGGGACCTGAACAGATCATCTAGCCTGACCCCCTGCCACAAGCAGGAATGAATGCTGGGTTCACAAGACCCCAGACAGGTGATCATCCAACCTCCTCTTGAATTTGCCCAAGGTAGGGGCGAGGACCACTTCCCTGGGAAGTTGGTTCCAGATTTTGGCCACCCTAATTGTAAAAAAATGCCTTCTGATCTCTAACCTAAACTTATTCTCCATCAGCTTATTACCATTGTTCCTTGTCACCCCAGGTGGTGCTGGGGAGAAAAGGGCTCTACCTATTTGCTGTTGATCTCCCTTGATGAGTTTGTAGGCAGCCACCAGGCTCCCCCTCAGCCTCCTCTTGCTGAGGCTGAACAGGTTCAGGTCCCTCAGTCTGTCCTCCATAGGGCCTGTCCTGCTGCCCTCTCACCAAGCAGGTGGCCTTCATCTGAACCCTCTCCAGGCTGGCCACATCCTTTTTAAAGTGTGGTACCCAGTACTGGATGCAGTACTCCAATTGCGGCCTGACCAGTGTTGCATAGAGGGGGAGTATCACTTCTCTGGACTGGCTTGAGATGCATCTTTGGATGCATGACAAGGTAAAGCTGGCCTTGCTGGCTGCGGTCTGGTATTGGTGGCTCATGTTCATCTTGGAGTCAGTAATGACTCTCAAGATCCCGTTCTGCCTCTGCTTTCAAGAGGGGACATCCCCAGCCTGTATGTTTGCTGTGGATTCCTTCTCCCAAGGTGCAGCACCCTGCATTTATCTACGTTGAACCCCATCCTATTCTCATCTGCCCACTTTTGTAGTCTGTCTAAATCTATTTGCAGCCTCTCTCTCCCTTCAAGTGTGTCCACCTCGCCCCACATTTTTCTGTCATCAGCAAACTTAGCATGCTTTCCACCCCCTCGTCCAAGTCGCTGATGAAGATGTTAAACAGCGTGGGTCCGAGGACCAAGCCCTGGGGTACCCCACTGCTCACGTCTCACCAGGTTGAGTACAGCCTGTCCACCACTACTCTCTGGATGCGCCCCCTCTGCCAATTTTTTACCCATCCAACTGTGTAGGCATCAATGCCACAGTTGTTTAATTTACTGATGAGGATGGGGTGAGAGACAGTGTCAAAGGCCTTCTTAAAGTCTAGAAAGACTACGTTCACAACGACACCATCATCCAAGGATTTAGTTACTTGGTTATAAAAGGCAATCAGGTTGGTCAGGCAAGACCTGCTTTTGAACCTATGCTGATTGTTCACAATAACAGCCAAGCTTCTGCTAGGACTGCAGACTTGGTGGAAGCCCCTTGCATTCTACTGGCTCATGGGCCCTTCAGCTCCCAGCACCCAGTCCCATCAGCCGCAAAGCTGCCGCTTACTGTTTGGGTTCTGCAGGCTGCCACCACTTAGCCAGGGATCCTAGCTCTGGCCCCACCCGCCCATCCTGCTTCTGAATGCCGCTCCCTGCCCATTCATTGCCCATTCATATCCCAGCTGAGTGTGGAGTAGAGCCACAAGGCACTGCCCGCACACCCCTACAGTGGGTACCCGTTCTGTGGGCCTGGGGCAGAGCCACATTCCACTCCCTACACATCCCTGCTCATGGAGCCAGCACCCATCATGGTTGTGTAGGCAGCAGATCATGGCTGTGCTCTGTGCTTGGCCAAGATGGAGCCATGGAGAAGTGAGGAATGACATCTGGGCACAGGATCAGTGGGATCCCTGGCTAAGTGGCAGCAGCTTGCAGAACCCAAGCAGTATGTGGCAGCCAAGACCAGCATAAGCAGGGTGTGCATCCAGGCCAAGGGGATCAGTTGCTTAGGGAGTTTTGGTGAGCTGTTGTGGAGCCACCAGGGGTTGTGGGCATGCTGACCCAGCCCATGACAGCTCACCAAAACTTGTTATGTGGCCCACAAGCCTAAATAATTGCTCTTGCCTGCATTAGCAACACCCAAACCAACTCCTGATATTTTCAAGACTCCTAATGGCAACTCCTAATGAAGACCACTACTTCTTTGGTTTCTGGTGCCAGTTGATATGCAGTTAATTGCAATTATGTTTAGCTTATGTTAATGTACAACTATGTTACAAAGTAGATAGGTTGAAGGGTGCTATATTCTTAAATGATTTTTGTATTTAACGGAAGGGTAGATAACTTGGGATCTGCCGAACCTGAGGCGGCAGCCAGCCAAATTCATGGGCAGCTTGCACAGCCAGCTACCATATTTGCAGGCTGAGCACAATGGTTTCCACCCATGCCTTTGGCTGAGAGGCCCTGGCAGTCCCACCCCTCTCTGCCGATTGCCACATGGCCCGAAACCATGGCTTAATTACTCTGATTAAGCCTAGGGAAGCCATTCATAAACATGTTGTTAAACCTGGATTAATGGCTTCCCTGGGCTTAACCAAGGTAATTAAGCCACAGTTTCGGGCCTTCCTCAAACAGGGCTTGCTGCAAGTAAATAAATAACCTTACTGGCAAGAAGAGTGCACGGAAAGCTCTGCAGTCTTGGAGCACAGGAGGGAAGGCAGAAAGGGGAGGGCAGAGAGGAGTGGGGGCAGGACGGGGCTATCTCTGGGGTGGTGGGGTTATGCAAATAATGGAATGAGGAGGGAGGGAGGCAGAGAGTCCCAAAAGGGGGGTGGAATGGAATATGGGTGGGTTATGCAAATAATACATTGAGAAGTGGGGAAAAGAGTGGAAGGTGGGGTTGAAAGCAGGGTTATGGAAGGGAGGCATGGTTATGCAAAATGAAGGGAATGGAATGGGGGCTGAGTGAGGGTAGAGGCAGAGAGGCTACAATATAGCTTTCTGTATGAGAATTATTCAATAAATTGAATAATTTGTTGCATTTGGTAGTGTGATACATCTAATTATGGCTCAAGATCAACAATATTGACCAACCAAATAAAAATCCGCCAGCCTAGGAAGCTGTTTTTTGTTTTGTTTATTTGTTACCTGTTCGTATTCAATTTGTTGTCTTAGTCTGTTATGTAAGAATGTAATAAATAGGACTAAGCCAGATGTCCATTCAGATGTGTTCCATTTTAAAAATTATAGTATACAAAAACTAAGCATATTCTATAAAGAAATAGTTCATGACAAGAATACAGAAATATTTATAACAGTAAAAGACAAATGGGCAGATTAAGTGACTTTGTGCTGAGACTGTGGAAAATATCTTTTTCTCTTTGAAGAACCTTTCAATATTTGTGGTGCTGAACTTTACAATGGCTGCGGGATCTGATACTTTTTATTTCACTCAGAGTAATTTTCAGTGCATTGTAGTTGAATATGTTTTAGTTCCTGAATTTTACAAATGTTTTGAACCCTGTCATTTTCCAGCAGCATTATTGTTTCGTTCTGATCATCCCACTGAGGGTGGGTTGCAGCATTATATTGCAAACTGCTCCAGTTTATTAAGCCTGTCTTTCAGCTCGGAGTGATAGAAGACTTGATTCTGTCCAGTTCACTAGGACTGAATGCATCCAGAGCATTGTATACTTCACTTCCTTGCTAAATCGGAACCTTCAGGTCCTCGTCATCCGCGTGCTTAATTTTTAGGAGTGGAGTCTAGTATGGACCTAGCATTAATTAGCCCTGTTAAATGCAAGATTGAATTTCCAATCATAACAATACTACTTGTACACAGGTGGGTTTTCAGTGGAGAGTTTTGTGTAATTGAAAATGCCCCAAAAAACTAAGACTGAATTGCCATGCTGGCACTAAAGTCTCATTTAGACAATTTTGCATCTGATTGTTCAGCTAATACCATATTTTCTCACAAGTAACCTGTACTTTTTCCCCCAAAAACCAGCGGGGGAAAATTGGGTAGTGCATTATAAGTGAGGAGTAGGGCTTCCCAGAGGTGTGGAAATTTGAGGCAGGCAGGAAGGGTGGAGTGGTGGCACCATTAATAGCTAATTAATGATGCCACTGCTCCATCCTCCTCCTTGCTGCCAGATTTCCAGACTCATGGGGAGCCTCTGTCCCCCAGCCATGCTGACTTTGTACTCTGGCTCTGGAGCCACATGCCGGGTCAAATGCTTTGGGTCCAGGATTGCAGCCTCCACATGTAGAGACCTCTGACCTCACAGTACTTACCTGTACTCCAAGATGAGGGGGTTTTTTTCTGCCTGGGGGCTTCCAAAATGGGGTGTCTGTTACATTTTGTGGGGGAGGGAAAGAAAATAATGGTGTTGACCTCTAAGTAAAGTAAAATTCACAGATTTTTTTTCAAACATTAATCAGACTGGAACCAGATAGGGGAACAGATGTGCTTTCTTAATACCAAGTCTTTGAGCAGTTTAAGGGGTAGATGACCTTGATAGATTGGTTATAATTGAGCATTAACATGTGAGAGATTAATATTATCTACAGAATTAATTGTGTTGTGAATAAGCACTTATTTCATTATGGCTTTTATGTGTGTTAATGTTTACTGGTCAATAGAATTACTTAGCCTAACTGAACTGATGTTGCTGTAATTACATGGTGCCTTTGCACATGCTAGTATTTCTAATGATCTAATAAATGGTGTAACATAGTTGAGTGGAGATTGATTGGAAAACAATTTATCTTGGTGTTAGTGGGCTACAGCATTCAGCTCTCTTGTTTTACAAATAATTTTTTTGCATTTTTGTCTTATGTTTTCTGTTTTTTTCCTTTTATATTTTTTTTCAAGTGTCGATTTACAGTATCTGGTTTTATGACAAGAATGACTGTCACCGAATAGCAAAACTCATGGCTAAGTAAGTACTGTGGTTTTGATTTCCCCTCCCCCCTCCCTCAAATTGCCAAACATCTTACCTATATGTGATTCTTACCATAAAATATTCTTTTTATATTTAATTTTTTAAATAAAGAAAACCTGATGATTTCACTAATTTTTTCTGTGATAAAGCTTTCTTTCATGCTCAGAATTTATAGGCTGAAGCTAGCAGTGTCAAAAATGCTTAGGTTCATGAAAATACTTTATCTAAAAAAGATATATGTCCTGCATTTGTTTAGATTTATTGTATATTGCTTTGCCATAAGCAAAATATCAGAGTTGTTTAGGTGGCAAAACATTTTCAGAAATGGGGAGGATTTCAGAAAACAAGAACCTGAGATGGTAAGGACCTTAAAGTGATGATTGCATTTAATTGCCAAACAAAGAATAGGGGTTTTATGCTGGTTGTTAGTTCATTAGATTTTTTTTCTTTATTACTTCCTGCCTAGAAGGAGACAGTTGATGGGTAGAATCACTATTTATTTGCAAAATGTGTGATAGGTAAAATTATGCACCAGTAAGTGGAAGAGAAAGGAGTTGGTGGTTACAACTTTATAAAGTGGGTTTGGTTAACGTTTCATTTTTTGAATAATGGAGTGGAAGGGAGCTGATTAACCATTGAATTAGATGCTAGTCTTGTTCTGCAACTTTTTGTCTTGCTTTTAAATTTACTGATAGTATTTTGGAGGAAGCAGAGTCCTATGAAAACTTCTGAAAACTACTGCAAACAGGTAATCAGAGTTCAGTCAGTCAAAATAAGAACAGAACAGTTTGAAGGAGCAGTAAAAAGAATTGAATGAGACTAAGCAAAGCAGAAAAATTCAGATATTCTTGAAAGTTAAATAGCAAAATAAAATCAAAACTTAGCTGGCCGAACAATACTCATAAAAAGACTTTTTCTTCTATTTGTTTTGGTTTCATCAAAAATTCTTGAGTAAAGGGCTAAAAAGGCAAATAAATAGTAAAACTTCAGTTTTGTCTCCAAGAAAATAGATTAAGTCTATTTAGTTGGGTGTTCAATTACTGTGAGTCAGGAGCAGGGCCATGGGGCTGGCTGTGGATCAAGAATATGGGGCAACAACATGAGCAGGGGTGAAGCACTGGTATACCAAGGCTGCTCAGTGCCACAAAGCAGCAGAGGGGACAGCCACAGCTGGACCAGCATCCTGGTGAGTGAAGGGGATGGGGAGTTCTGATTTTTCCATGATAAAACAAAATGAAGTGCCAAAATTTATAGATATTTAGAATTTATCTTATTATAACGATTGAGGTACTCGTATACTTCCAAATTGCTTTAAAATTGTAAATATATCAATAGAGCATCATGTCCAGCTGATACAGTAAAAGCTGTGTTATCCAGTGCTTCATTAACCGGCATGCTGGTTGACGTGGCAAAAGCAAAACCGGAAGTCCCACTTTTGGTTTCACAGAGTCCCACGTAAGGCCACGGCCTGGGCAAAACAGCCTACACGGGGACCCCCTCTCCCTGTCCAACAGCACAATGATGCCAGGGAGTAAAAGCCTGGCGCACCGGATGCATGGGATAACAGCTTTTACCATGGGTAAAAAAAGCATAACAATGGGTGCCGGATAACAGCCTTTACTCTAACTACATATGGTGGTATTTCATGTTAAGTGTAGAAAAATGAGGATTTGGGGTTTTTTAGTGAGAGTTTGGGGTTTTTAAACAGGAAACCAGGACTCCTGCTGAAGACCAAAAAGAAACTTCATCCCAGTGTTAAAAAAAAATAAACAAAAGAGGATAGGAGGACTTTGCTGTCCCATATGAAAATAGAGAGCATGAGGGCTCAGTCTTGGCACTCCATCTAGTGTCTGGTTGTTTAATGTGAGGTCGTATTGTATCTAATTTAATATTAATGGTGAACACACCTTCAAAAATGATCTCTCCAAATGTATATAAGTAAACTGCAAACAAATTTACTGAAACATGCAAATAAAGAATTTTAGGCAAGTTTCCTGAGCCATCCACAGGACATAGACAGGTACTTTAGTGTTCTAAAAGATGTATAAGTCTTTCTCCTCTAGAAGAGTTGTAAAAATAAATAAATAAAATCTCACTTTAGTTATACTGGGGTTGACCTGTAATCAGGCTCCTGAACATGTTTACTTGTGTAACTACAATATTTTTGTGTATGCAATAAAATACTAAGTCAGAAGTTTGTTTGATACAATTTTTTTTTTAGTATTTTTATTTTAGCCCTTTGCACTCTTTCCTCAGTTATTTGATTTTTTTTAAATTTTATTATCTAATTTTTTGTGGAATTCTGTAAGGGCAATAGAAGTTAGAAATCTTTATCTACAGTTACCAACTCTTCAGGGGAACAGTTGTTTTTTCTCTAAATTTAAACCTGAAAATACAGGGTTGACTTGTAATCAGAACAGTGTAACAGATCTTGTTGAACTTATTCTTATAGTTTTAATGCACAATACATTTACATTATGTACTCTAATTAAAGTTGTGCGATATATTATTATAAAAGCTATATTGGATAATTTACCTCTGACTATATTTTTTTTTATTGAATATCTTTTCTGATTAGTTTTTTAGTTACAGAAAAATTGAACACTTCTAGTTTTGGATAGTCTTAAAACAGGGGTAGGCAAACTGCAGCCCAGGGGCAGCATCCAGCATGGGGAGGGACTTTGTCCAGACCATGGCAGGTGCCTCTTGTCTCGCCACCTCTGGGCTCACACAGCAGGCCTATGGCAGCTCCGCAGCCGAACTCCATATCCCAGCAGTGGCAACTCCTTCTGGCTGCCACTGGCCCTGGCCCTATGGAGATGGGCTAGAACCTGTGCAAGCAGGTCCTGAGCCCTGAGTTGAATGCACAGGCCTGGCCCCAGCCCACCCTGCACATAGGTCCCTATAACACTCACTCTGGACCTGCCTTCCTCAGCTGTGATGAGCAGTGGCAGTGGCTGGACAGAAGTTGCTGCTGGGCACAGGGGGAAAAAAGCACTTGGTGGCAGGTGCAGCCACCACCCCCTCACTGCTGCCAGGCCCTCCTTGCTGCTGCCACCAGAGCTGTCTCTGGGCTGCCCCAAACTCCCATGCCTGGGGGTTGGAGGAGCTGCAAGGCAGCACGTGCTTAGGCTCTGGGTGGCAGTGAGAAGGGCCCAGCAACAGTGAGGGGAAGGCAGGCAGCCACAGCTGCTGCCAAGTCCTGCTCTTCTCCTGCACCCAGAAGCAGTGTCTGCTTGGCTGCCACTGCCACTCACTGTGGTCAAGGTGGATGGGTCCAGAGTAGGTGCTGCAGAAACACTGACACCCTGCATAGGGTGGGCCACGGCCATGGCTGGGACTGTGCATTCAGCCTGGGGCTGGGTAGAAGATTCTGCTGGGCACCAGGAAAAAGCAGGACCTGATGGCAGCCGCAACCATCTCCCCCTTGCTACTGCTGCGGCCTTCTTGCTGTGGCTGCCCAGAGTCCACACTAGGTCTGCCCTGTGGCTCCTTCCTGCTGAGCACAGGAATCTAGAGCTGCCTAGAGGTGGCAGCGGTGGGGAAGGGAGCCCTGGCACAGCCTCGGGGCAACCACAGTGAGAAGACCACAGCAATGATAAGGAAGAGGTACCTGTGGCTACTGCCAGGTCCTGCTTTTTCCCGGATCCAAACAGCAGCTTCTGCTCGGCCGCCATCAGCTTCATGCTTGGGCTGCCGTCATTGCTTTAGTGTTCTGAAAAGACCTTTTGGGGGGGGGAGTTTCGTAAAGGCAATAGAAGATAGGCAGCAACTTCAGCCCCTCTTCAGGGTAGAAGGCCTGCCCAGAGGCAGTGCTGGTGATGGCCCTGCTGAAGCTGCAACCCACCCACACCACCTCCCTGTCTGTCCACAGCCCATCCTACATAGGGAGGTTTGGTGGACTGTTGTATGGGTTGGGGGGGGTGGGGGCAAGGATGCTGACTTAGCCTGCAACAGCTCCCCAAAAGTCCCTATGTGGCTCACAGGTTCAAATAATTGCCCATCCCTGTCTTAAAAGTGGGGATTTATACTAAAAATGTTTGACTCTTTAAACATACATGTACATTTATAGGGATATGGAAATACATTTCTGAACACATAACCTTTTAGAATGTTTGCTGGATATGCCAAATGCATTCCATTTGCTGTTTTTATTTAGTAGGTTTTTTAAATGCTTTAAATACTCTAATTCTAAATTGTTAGAAAATGAAGGGCCTCCTGGCCTTCTTCCATGCTGTGGAATGGGTAACCTAGGGTAATTATAAATTGAATTTTGTCTGCATACCTGGATTGAGCTATTATATTTGCTTCCCTAATGACTGTCAGTTCTTCTGTAGAATTGAAGCATGCTTCCCCCCCACACACTCTTAAGTGGGCTGATTCTTTCAGTAGCTATGCTATGAAGGAGGTAGGAGCTCCAGGGGCCAGTGTCCAGTCATACTAAAATAAGATAGATATCATAACGTTCCTGCTGGAACTTTTATTTTTGTATAGTTAAGCTGGTTTTCCGTTACCATATTTAATTTACACTACTATACCTTTTATGTTTAGTTCTTCTAGAAAAAAATGACTGATTATGTTTTTGTGGTTCATTTATGCTTTGCAAAGCTTGCTCTTTATTGAGGGAAAAAATGAAGGTTTGCATCCTTCCTCCTGCTGTTCAGTTTGACAGTGTTGTGCCAGGCTAAATTAACAAGTCAGCAACACACAGATTTACGTTTTGGTAGCTTAGCTCTTCAAAAGAAAAAAAGTCTCATTATAAAGATAATTTAGATGTGTATTGTTGTCTCAAACAATTGCAGCCAGTCCAAAATCGCGCAATATGCTTTCTCGTGCATTTGATGACATGGCAATTTTTATGAGGTTTTTGCTTTGTGTACTTCCACTGATATAGTTACAAGCTGTCTTGAACTAACTGTCACAAGAGCAGCTATTGTGCTTCTTAGACAGGGTTTTTAGAATATACAGTTCTCCCACTCTTTAAGGTCATGGATGCTCTAGGTATTGCTAGAAAAAAAAATCTCTGCTGCCAATTGAGCATTCACAAAATTGATTATTTTTAGTCTTTTTTTATTTAAAATATAACACTAGTTCACAAATCACAAGTGACCAAACAAAATTTTGGGGAACTAAAGGTAGTCAGTCTCTGAATAAGACCAGGTATCGCAAATAACTTCCACAAAGCAGAACTTTTCAGAAAGGAACCAGGTTCTTTTCCTGGGGAATGCAATGTTCGAAGTAGTTTTTTGATTTTTTTTGTTCCTCTCCCTCCCTGCCCCCTGCCCCCCCCCAATCTCAAGACAGAAGGAAAGTATTCTGAAATTTCCCCCATAGCAAAACTCCAAAGAAAACTGTTTTGGATCATTTTTTTTTCCAATTTCACTGTTTAAAATATATATATACATACACACACTCTGAAGTAAATGGAATTCAAACAAAATTCAAAAATATATAATTGTTCTGTTTCTTTATCAGTGTGAAAATGTCAAAGTAGGGCATTTATTGAAATCCTTTTTGTCAGCTTTTGTTTTGTTTTCTTTTTTCCTGAACACAAATTTGATGAAATAGGCATGCTTTTGCAAAATATTTCGCCTCAAGAAAGCTTGTCATTTTTATAGAAAAACTTTATTGGAAAATGCCCAACAAAATTTTAGTTGTAAATTATGAAGGGGCTTTGAATGATCTGCATCTTCATTTTGCCCTCAAGATAGCACATCTGCACAGGATTTTTGGATGTAAAACTTACTATTTACCAGAGGTTTCATTACTATAGTATTTCACGAAGGACTTGGTGATTTCCTATTCTAGATTTTCCCTTGTCGTCTTCTTTATTTTCCCTGCTACTGAGATCTAACTAATAAAACCTACCTGTTCTGATAGCCAGATAAGTCATCTGTCATAAGTCAGCACTGTATCTCCTTGCAGAGTAGTAGAACCAAACATTCTGTCACCCAGGCATTACCATAGAAACTGTTTTACACTATTAATTGCATTATCCAAACTAGCAAATACTGTGATCGTAAGGAAATGTCTTGTGGAGAGAACATGGAAATGCAGATTGACATCCATATTCCAAGTTAAACCTTTAAATGATTGTCTGCTAATAGGGAAGGGGGGGGAAATTGTATTAAATAATATTGAACTTCAACAAACCCAGTGACTTCAGGGACAACTTGTATGTACCTGTATAATGAAGTACAGTGCATTGTCTTGGGTAACCAGCTGGGAAAGAGCTGGTTTTCCCTACTTTTTCTTGAACTGTACAAGCCAACTGGGCTAAGTACAGACGGTCAAAAACCCCAAGGTTGAATCGATTCAGTCTTTGGAGGTTAGTCTAAGTTGCAGAGATTAAATTGAAACAGAAGTAAATAGACATTTACCTTCGATTCAGGAAATGCAGCCACCTGCTTATAGCGTGCTCCAGCCAAAAGCCAGGGGTGCTGAAACATAGTTCTCTGTCTGTGTTTTCACTTCCTCTTCCTGCTGCCCCAGAGTTACGGCAGCAGGACTCTGCAGGGTTGCTTATCACTTCTTCCTGTTTCCAGGTGCCTCTGGGATTTGTAGTCCACAGTTACAGCCAGCAGTAAGTTTGAGCGGGGGTTGGGGTGTTTAACCCCCCTCCCTGGCCCCAGACCCCAGCCAGGGTTTGCCAAGGGGGGTGGGAGGGCAGTCCCCATCCTGTCCCATCCCCACCCCTGTAGACTGGGTTGCACCCCAGCTGGGCTTGCCCCTTCCTGCCCCCCCTTGTCAGCCAGCCCTTACTGTTCCAGCTAGGGAGCAGAGGGATGGGGCCAGCCCTGCTCTTTGGAGCAGACAGCACAGCATAGCACAGCCCAGGGCTGCAAAATGCTGGGGGACTATGATTTAACCTGAACCAGGAAGGGGTCTGGGACAGAACTTTCATAAACTGGTTTGACCCAAATCAGTTAAACCTGGTTGAATGTAGTTTCAGACTTATCTTAAGCCAGTTTCAGCCATTTTGAAACTGGATTATGTGCACTGAGCTTGTGTTCTGTTAAAGGTTTAAACCAGTTTCTGGTGACCTAAGCCAATATATGTGTAACTTCTGTCCTTAGCCCTGAAGTCTAATATTAGTAAGCACACAGCTGAAATGCAGTGCAACAAATGAGTTTAACTGCTAAACCTTTGCCCAGCAGGGGGAGGAGTGGGGAATTGCAGGACTTCCTAACATTCTTCCATTAAAAAAAAAAAAAAAAGGTATAAATAAATAGCATAATTATTGGCTAATGTATAATTCAGAATTTATCCAGAACCCTTTATGACCTGAGGAAACTGAAAGGTTGAATGATTGACATTTTCTGTGATTGTTATGATGGCACTTTTTGGCTTTCCAATCAGCCATTAGTTGAACAGCATGAAATTTGTGAAGTGACATCCAGCTCCAAAGCTACCCTGTTTACAATGCTTGGCTTTTCTTTTAAGACCTGATTAATGCAGGCTTAAAAGAAGATTGGTGTATGTATTTACTTCAGGAGCATGAGCTGTAAAAGCATTTGCACAGAAATATGTCATCTTATATAGTACATGTAGATTTAGAGTAGAAGTGGATGGCACCTTTGCTGTCCTCCCATCACTGAAATACAAGTTGTGTGCCCTCCTTTACTGTCACCTGCACTGGCACAGTTCCTGAAATGTCATGACCTACATGTAGGTCTGGTGAATCTTAGGCTGTGTCTGCATCAGATTCACCAAACTCAGGGGCAGTGCCCTTACGCACACCATGGTGCTCCGGGTGGACTGCCTCTCCTAATTTGAACAAGTATAGCCACTTCCATGTGGGCAGGCTAATTCACATGATCACTGAATTCACATGATTGTTGAACTTCCTTGCATTAGTAGTACTAATTAGCCAGATCTAAGCAATATGCAGAGTTGGCACTGGCTACATTGCTTCTGATTCAGGAGGCAGCCCCACTCAGGTTGTGTAGCATGCTTGACTGTGTCACTGCTGTGAATGCTATGTTTACTGTCTAGACCAGTGGAGGCCAGCCTTTCTGGCTAATTTGTGGGGGGCCACAAATTTAGCCCTGCACCCTCCCAAAATGCTTCTCCAGTCCCTTTCTGTTATCTGATGTACTGCCATCATTTCTGCTTCCTGCCTAACTTGACGCTCAGCTTTCTGCTCCCTGGCCTATCTGCCACTGTGCTACATTTCCCCTCCCCAGCCTGCTGCATGCCTGACACGGAGGCTGCCTGTGACACTTGTGGCACTCATACCACAGGTTAGCCACCCCCAATCTAGACAATAGCCTCAGATACTGAAAATATATCTGAGGTAGAAAATATTTTAAACTGTATTGGACCTAAACTGTGTATTTACTTTCTGTTTAATGCCAAATACCAGAATACTTACAGAAGAATCTTAATTTAGAACAAGTCAGGGAAGCCCAAACCATCAGTCATTTTCGCTAGTAGATGCAGTAAAATGTTTTCTTAGTGGCATTCTTTCAGTCACAATGCCAACTGCACAGCCCCTTCATAGATTATAAATATAATTCCCTTAAAATGTTGGTTCGTGAATTGCTGCTGTTTTCTTCAAAGGCATTGGCTGATCAGTGAAACACCAGTTTTCCTTGGTAACAGGAAGAAAAAGCATTTTTTTTTTTAATTATTTCCAGTTTCTGAGTACAGTTAAGTAAAAATTCTGTTTCAGCCGGAAGAGCTTATATAACCTTACTTGCTTACACACATTCTTTAATCCCATTAAAATGGCTGTTTAGGCTAAAAGAGTTCACCTTTTTCTCTCTCTCAAGTTAACTCTCAGGTTCTCTCTCTTCTAGCAGACTCATGTCGTGTTTTTGAGGCTTTTTAATGACCTATGGCTCTGACTCTTAGTCTGTGGCAGCCCTGTGTCTGTTCTTACGTCTGACTAGTAACTCAACGCAGTTTTCTGTGCTTAAGCAAAGACTGATTGAGCTGTAGGGCATTTCCTGGGAATTAATGGCTGCATGGTAAAACTTGAGCGCTCAAGGCAGAGCCCGTGGCCATTAATCCCAGAGAGCGTCATGCACTGAAGTAATTATAGCTGTTTAAAGACTGATAGGATTTTATAGAATTATGTTAATAAAGCTGTTATTATAAAATTACTAAGGTAACATTTCAGTGGAGTAGTGGCTGCGTATCCTGTCTCCATATTGCATCAGCTGCATTAAAATTGACAAATACTAGCAGAGGAGTGAGAATCAGTGGGACACCAGATGGGATTTAAAAAAAAATGAATGGAAGAACACTAAGAGAGAAGCAGCAGTCCACTCTTCTCTCCAGACACTAGAGGAGAAACTGATGGCAGTCTGCTCTTGTGTCTCTGGAGCTAAAAGGTTTTGTAAGGAGGCCAACCAGTGGCAGCCAGGTCCTTTCCCAGTGCATGTGGCAGGCCTCATCCTGAAAGAAAACCAGACATGCTATTTTTTGCTGAGAATGTAGCTTGAATTCTCTAAATATAGAATGGCTATGCCTTAGCCAGTTAAGATGAAGGAACCATTTTATCCAGTTTACAATATAATGTTTATGCTCCATTGCATAATGTATGTTTAGATGTCTGGGTATTAATTTTATTGTACAAATGTCTAAACATGACAGTTATGTAGACTCGTTTACTGGAGGCAAACTTTGTGGCTCACAGATCAGTGCAATCTGGGTTGGTGATAAATCATAAAACAGTCAAACTGTTAGATGTACTCTACAAATCTGGTAGGAAATCAGAACTCATACATAGCTTTAGTTAAACATGTGTTTGGTTTTCTCCAAGCAGAACGAAATGTGTTTGTAAGGTAGTGCATCCATTTTTTTGTTGCTTTATGGCACATTAATTCCAAATAAAGTTTCTTTGAAACCCTATTTCCTTCTTCTTTTTCTTTCCTTTTGTAGAGTGGTAGAACAAGAAGCTCAAAGATCCCAGCAAGTTGCACATGACAGAAGGAGCCCCAGCAGGACTAACGGTTGTAGTGAAAATAGACCCATTGATATCCTGGAAATGCTCAGCAAAGCCAAGGTTGAATATGAACGAGTAAGTGTTTGTGCACATTAACAGTATCTGTATTAATAATGTAATGTTAGTTTGAGTACTTTTTCTCCTTTTGATTTAAGGGCTTTAGGACCTCAGGTTGCTCCTCCTGAAAGCAAATGGAGCTTTGCTTTCTCTTTTAGTGCAGAAAGTAAAGCCCTTTTACAGGAAAACATTATAACATACATCAGATCACCTTGGTGAATCTTTACATTTTGAAGTTAATATATTTATTTCCTGGAACAAATGAGTTCCTTTTTTTCTCACACTTGTATCTTTAAAGTGAGAATCCTAATTTAACAACACTTGTGTTTAAATTGTGAATTAGGAGTGTACTGTGCATTTGAAGATAAAAATGTAATGTTGTAGCATTCTGGGTTTTGTTGTATTATTCCCTGAGTGGAGATGCTGTTAAACATGATGCAGGATTAATCTGTCTTGTGTCATATTCTTTGATAATTTAGTTATGTTGTGGATAATCTAAGAGAAAAGAGCTTTGTAGACTTCTGTATTAAATATTGACACAAGCTTGTATTACAAAAGTATTAACATTTTTAAGAGGTTCTATTTGGTAAATATTTCATTCTTTGCTGCAGTTGGTTTCTTTTTTTCCTTGTCCTCTGTAATACCAAAGCTCACTGGAGGAGATTGACTGAGCCATGAATCATGGTCGGATGTGTATTGCAGTTACCTATTTAAGTGCTTCAGGGGATGTTGAATCACATGGCTAAGGGCTACCTCAGAACTACCTCAGAATTGTGAGCTGCACATAGTAGTCTGCAGCCTGGAATGACTTCCTGACATTTAGAACAAATCTTTGTATTGAAAACTAAGACATTTCAAAACAATATAAGGAATCATGTGATGCTTGGTGCTGTACTTGTTAGATCAGTCTCTCCTTCTGTAATTGTTAGCTAATAATTTAACTTATTTTTACAGTTACTTTAATTTTCAGTTAATTTAAACAAATGTTGACATGTTTATCAACAATCTTATTAATAATTTTCTCAACATTAAATTGTAGTTAAATAGCTAGCTGAAACTATGGCACTTCCTTGTTTTTCCAGTTGTAACTTAATTGAGATACGTAATGAATTGCCTATTTCTAAGAGGCAGAGAGTTCTTTTATTGAACCAGCTATATGTAGTTGGAGTAAAGGTAGACAACCTTTCCAACACAAGGCATTCTTTATCAGGTCCTGTTTATCAACAAATAATGTCTTGTATTAGAAAGCTTATCTAACTCTATCCCAACTTCTCAGTCCAATAAAAGATATTATGCTAAGAAATGCTTGCCTCTTGCATGGTTCAGAAACTATCATGGCTACAACATCACTGTTACACTACCATTTCTCAGAAAAATTGTCCTCCAGTTGAAGAAAATGGGCCAAGTAGTAGCTGTATGATCAATATCCAAATGTATTTGGGTATTCTCTTGAGGCCTGGGGGGAAAAAGGAAGACTTGTCCGTATGGTTTATACTTCTGGTATTCAGGGTGCTTAGTTAATCAAAATCAAATCCTGTAATGTCTGTTTTTGAAGGCTCAAATTCATTTGAGCATTTTTTGTGCACATGGAGAATGAAGGAAGGGGGGAATGCAGGGTGGAGATAAAATGGAGAGAGAGAGACTGCTTCATGTTCTTTGCAGATACCTTGCAGAATATTTTCTGTGTGTACTAATCCATTCGTGCTCAACCTTTCTGTCCAGTGAGCTGGATGGGCAGTACCCAGTCCCTCTGTGGGCTGGATTTGGCCACTGGATCCAGTTGGGTGCTCAGGGCTTGTGCAGCAGAGCCCCATCTGGCCTTGTGGAGTGGGGCAAGAGGCAACCTGGCCCTGATCCAGCTGTGTTGGAAAAAGGGCATGGCCTAACTCCAATCCAGCCTTGTGGGGCAGGGGGTTCATGACCCATCCACAATCCAGCCTCATGGGAGAAGGGCGCCCTGTACCAGCTTGGCCAGGTGGGAGGAAAGGAGGGTATAGTCCAGCCCTACAGTGGCAAGGGAGCATGGCCTGACCCTAAACTAGCTACATGGGGAGGGATGGCGTGGCCTGGCCCCACAGGAGAAAAAGAGCAAGGCTCGAATCCAACCTGACCAAGCAGAGAGAAGGGGGTATGGCCTGGTCCTGAACTGCACCCCCAGGAAGAAAGGGCGTGGCCCAGCCCTGGTCTGGTGTAGGGCTTGGGAAATTTTGGCAGCAGAGTGGGGGGCAGTATTAACTGCCACTTCTCCCCTGCCACCAAATTTCCCAATCTTTGTGGAACCCTGAGGGCCATATTCTAGGGCTCCACTGGCTACATTTGGCTTATGGGCCAGTTTGAACAGCCCTGCATTTTGCTAATTCTGGTAATGGGACTTTCACCTCTGACTTCTCAGACCTGGGGTAAGAGTGCCATTGATCTTCATGTAGAAATAAGCTCTTTAGTGATGCTTTTGAAAAATTATACCCATACTCTGATCTCAAAGCAAGAAAAATTCCCTATTTTGTCCTATATTTATATTTCCATTTTTCCTAGTTAAGAAACCCCCTAGTTTGCCTTGGAGATGATTTTATTATAATTTAAAGTTTTCTGGTATAGTTAAACAGTTGCAAAATTAGGGAGGCTGGGAACCTCCCAGTTTAAAAGGGGCCACCAACAGCAAAAAAAGCCCTAGATAGGCTCTGGAGTGGTGAGAGACGCGCGGATGAAAGCCCGCCGTGCCCCCGCTCCCCCGAAGTCCCCCAGAAACCCCCCCGCAGCCGCGGAGCCCCCCCGCCAACCTCCAGCACAAGCAGGGACAAGCGGGGCCCGTGGTGGAAGGGAATTAACCCCTCACTGAGTGGGAGGAGGCGGCTGAGTGGAGCCAGGCCAGGTCAAGCCCCGCCCAGGCCCCTACTTTGCCCAGCCCCCCAGGGAGCCACGCGAGCAGGCCTTGCAAACAGGCGCGCTTGTCTACCGGCTCATGAGTTAATGCGGAGTTTGCATGGGAGGGCCCGAGACCCTGCCTGCAAACCCCCCAGGGCAGACAGTCCCAGCTGTAGCCAGTCTACTAGAGGCATGACACAGATGAGCACGCGTCACACCCTGAGGGTCCTCTCGGGCTCTGCGGCCACCCCCCCACCCCTCAGAGATGGCCACCCAGATGGAGCCCCTGGCTCTCAGCTGTGCGGGCTG